GCAGCCCATGGAGTCCTGGGACGTGGCAGCAAAGGAGCATTTCTGAGCAGCAGGGGTTTGGCCTCCTGCATTGCTCCAGGAGGGAAGGCCTTGGCCATGGCTGCTGGCACAGGCCAGGCTTGGGTCAGCGCTGCGGCATCCCTCACCCGTCCTGGTGCTCCAGGGCAGGGTGGTGGCCAGCACAAGGTTTTACTGCTTCCACCGACCAGTGGAGGTCAGGGCTGCTCCTTAGGTTTCAGGCTTGTTCTGAAGGAGGATAGCGGGCTTGGGGCATCCCAAAATGAGTCCGTCTCAGCACAGGTTGTGCTTGGTCATAGCTTCGTTGGTGTGGGCACAAGCGGTGACAGGGTTGGTCCCTCTTCCCCCAGAACCAGTTGGAGACACAGGGCTGGTTGCTTGTTGCCATGAGCAAGTGAGGCAAGGCAGGCCTGGAGAAAGGCTGCCCAGCCAGCTTGGTATAAATAATGTGGGCTAAGCCTCTTGGAGTGACGTATGGGCTCAAGTCCTACTAGGCCACCGTGTCACCAGCTTCTGGCCCTGCTTGAGAACAACGCAGTGGGTCATTTTCGTGCCACGCCTCACCACGAGAACAAGCCTAACTGCAGGTGATGGGCCGGGGGAGGAGGTTGCTCTCAAGCATGTCATCTCCATGATTGCACTTTTAAGACCATATTACTCAAGAGCGCTGGAGGTCTTCCATTCGCAGGTGAGATGCGCTTCATTGTCCATAGGCATTGATGTTGTCTCTACATTGGAGGATAAGTCCAGAGCTGTCTGTATTGTCCGTTCTTGGTAGAAATGGTAATTAAAATTCTTCCAGCCTGAAGGAAACAGATGCAACGTGGTAGGTCCAGACAAGCCAAGTGTTGGAGGCACTGGATGAGATAAGCGTATGCGTTTTTTTTTTCCCCTGAAACCTGGTTTATCTCCAAGATGAAAAGCTTGACTGTAAGCGTCACCAACTGACGTTAGAGCCTAAAAGCTCTGGCTGGCTGTCCCCATTTGGGGACACAGGCGGCAACATCTGACCTGCTAATATGGGGATGTGAGAGCACTGCTTCCTGGGAGGTGGCCAGGCTTGACTTGAGGACCTCAGGGAATGGAGGAGCTGCTATTTCCCTGGGAGTCTTTTGCTGATCCTGTAACTTCCCCTGAGTGTAGAATTGGCTCTAGGATGCCTTCCCTGGTGTTGCTCATTTTGGATAGCTCGTATGCGCTGGCATCCCTTCTCCTGGTTAGATGTGCCCTTGCCAGAGAGGCTGCTTAGAAATTGCCCTGCTCCGAGGAGAGGTCCGGGTGTCTTCTCAGCTCTGGCCTTGGCCAAGCCCTCGGTGCCTCATCCATCCCCTTGTGCTCACCTCCTACCTGGCAGCCCCAGCACCGCAGTGAGCAGTGCCCCAGGAGCTCTTCCACTGGCGGGATGCTGGTCAGGAAGGGTGGTACTTTAGGCTAACTGGGATGCAGCTGGTGTCACCCAGAGCTGTTCTTACCCATCAAGAGGTGACACACTGCTGGTGCCCCACAGCAAAGGCAAGGTCCTTGTTCAGAGATGCCTGGGGACCTCCCTGCTCCTCCCAGGGGTGTAGGCAGTGCTCACCTCCTGCCCAGCTTCCCAGCCACAGCAACACAAACAGCATCCAGCTCCACTGCTAGCAGCCACGTTAGCCAGAACAGTCCCAGGGAGCAGCTGTATCCTCGTACATCTGCACCTTTTCACCTCAAAATTCCCACATCTTCCCACTTTCCGTGCCAGACCTGGCCACCCCCAGCATTTAGTGTTGCGCTCTTGGTCCACCCAAGAGCTAACAGACCACTCTTCCCTAACCTGAGGGTTTAGTGGCTGCTGCAAGGACAGCCGGGAGGTGCAGGTCATGGTCACGTCTCCTCCAAATGTGACGCTGTGATCTCAGGCTTTTGCTCAGGTTTGTGTCTTGTACCCTCCCTGGCTTTGGCAGGGCCCCGGAGCCTCTTTGGAGGGTGCTCTGTGGATCTGCCTCTTTCCCAGCCTTGCCCAGGCTCTGAGCTGGCTTTGGCAGCCGGTGGAAGAGCAGACCTTTGGAGCCAGATCTGACCCATGGTCAAAGGCAGGAGAGGACATTGGTTTAGGGAATGGCTGTGCCTGTCTGCAGCCCAGGCACAGGGCAGCTCTGCAGCACGCTGGGAGCAGGGCTGGCCCCCGGTGCTGATGGGCGCCCACCTCTGACCAGGGCATGGATGCCCTAAAACAACAAAGCTCAGAGCAATCACCCTCAGAGGTGCCCAGTTTCTGCTCTAGGAGGCCCATCTTGGTGCCAGGATCAGGCACTTTGCACCAGGAGATGCACAGCCAGGCAGATGCTCCCCCCATCGCACACATCCAGCTCAGCCCATACACATGCAAAAGAGAGAGAGAGTTCCCACAAAGCCAGGTGCTGAAGACGGAATGTCTTCTGCAGCAGCTGCCACAGCAAGGACAAGCTCAGGGGTGGCTGAGGCAGCTCTTTGGGGAGCCCTTTTTGGGCTCTCCTGCCCTGGATTCCCGTCCACCCGCCTTGCTGCAGCAAACGGAGGGTGCCGGGAATACTGAGCCAGCTGAGCCACAAGAACCTTTGCACCGACAGCACCTTCCCCTGGGCCCCAGGATGTTCCTTCCCAGCCTCCTTCCTTCCTTCCCTTCCCGGTCCTGGAGCAAAGCAGTATTTTCATTATAGGTGCAGGATTTCTTTCTGGCTGCTCACAGCCAGACCCTGACCAGTTCCTTAGCCAGTATCGCTGCCTGGCACATGGTGCACTGCCATGGCCCTCCGTGTTTTACTCCCTGTCATTTGTGATTGAGGTTGTTGGTGTGGGATGGAGAGCGCGTGCGTGCTGCCTTGTAAACAGCACTGTTATTCCTGGATCCTTGCTCCGGGGAAGGAGCCAAACGTGAGTAATGAAAGGAAGAGGAGGGATGCACTGGCATCTCTCCTTCCCGGCTCCGCTCCTGCGCCAGCAGAGGACCAGAGGGCAGGACCGGGGACACACGGGCAGCCCTCACTTCCAGCTCCTGCCCACGGTAGAGGACAATTCCTGGTTCACTTTTTTGCTGTGTGGGTGACCTGGATGCGGGTGTGCAGTGCACATGGGTGCAGGCAGCAGCTTTTCCTCCCCAAGCAGTGTCAGGCTCAGGGGTACAGAGCATCTGTACCCAGTTACCGTCCATCCTTTCTTCCCTGGTCTGGAGGTGCGCTGCACCCCCTGTACTGATGGCAAGGGTAAAGGATGTGACCAAGGGCAGGCAGGACCCTGAGTTCATGGCCAGCACCCTTATAGGGCTCCCCCGAGGAGGCAGATGTTGCTGGGAAGGACATGGATGTGCGGTGGTAGGAACTGCTGCCTCCAAGTTTTACAGCAGGACAGACACCAGCAGCGCTCAGAGGCTCCCATTTTATCCCTGGTGGCACCAGTTGCCATCCCTGTGCCTCGGCTCTGAGCCTTGCAGGCAGCCCAGGCAGTGTTACAGCCTCGCTGAGCCTGTGAAATCACCATGGAGTGTTTGGATGGTAGCACAGTGAATGAGCCCAACAGTGTGGGGAAACCACAGGGGGCATCACCCTGGGGGGCCGGGGCCGAGCCGAGCCTGGCAGGGACCCTCTGCTCTCCCGGTGAGGATGCTCCGTGCAGCGCAGGGCGGCTGTGAGGCCCCGGCTGGCCCCAAGGCGCTTGTATCTGTGCAAATCCCCAGTGGGGGTGGGGGCTGGGAAGATGGGGTGTTTTGTCCAAATTCAGCATCACCCAAAAGCAGGAGTTTCTGGGGGTGGGTGCTCCCAGAGCAGTCCCCGCTGCATACATCTCTCAAGCCTTATTCTATAAAAGGGACAAATTTAGGCCCCAAACTGCCCCATATAAACCCAAATTGAACTTTACCAAGGGGACTGGCACCGTTGGGGTCAATCCCACAGGGGAAGGGTCCCAAGGCTGAGGCCGGCAGGGTGACACCCTCAGCAATGGGCTCCCCACACTTCACATGTTTTCTAGTTTAGAAACATTTCCTAATTGGGTTTTAACTTGGCATTTCCATCCCTTTCCCTGTGACCAGAGGGTCAGAGCAAAACCCTCCAGGGGAGAAAGCCAGGGTAGAAGCACCATGCAGACGACATGGCGCAGCCGCTCTCAGACACAGGCTCTTTTCCCCGGCATGTCCCTGCTCTGCAAGGGGTGATGATTCATACATAAGGGTAAAAAAAGGGCCTTCAGTGTTTTGGGGGCACCTCATGGCCCCCAGCACAGATGTTCAGGCAGCACATGTGTCTGGCAGGAGGGCAAGTACTTACTCTGGCAAGGCTTGAAACCCCCTTCCTGCAACCCAGCCCTGAAAGGTGACATCCCCGTCCCACTCCCAGGGCCACCTCCTCAGGTGTCCTTAGCCTGCACCCCACGGGGAGCAGCCCTGCAGGCTGGCCCGCGGTATCTGTGCCCGGGAATATGGGCATGGGCTGGCCCCAGCCCTGAGGGGTCCCTGGGGTGCAGGGGGACCCGCGGGTGCTGCCGTCCTGGCTGGTTGTGTAAGCCTGGCGGCCACGGGAGACAAAATGAGATTGTGGGGGATTACAAGGAACAGGCTCAGGCTGCTTGATTCTTGTTTCTAAAAGGAGCTCTTAAGCCGCTGTTGTTTTCCCGGTGCTTCGGATTAGGGCTGAGATGTGTGGGGTGGCCCCCAGGCTCCCCCAAGGGACCCCCCAACCCTCTGCCAGCCCACGGCTCCCCACCGGAGTGGGCTCCGTCTGTTAGTGCCAAGCACGAGAGAAAAACAGGGCTGGGAGGTGACCGCCCCTCCTTGGGTACCCCAAAACCACCCCCCATCTCCTCCCCATGTCCCCAGAAAAGGCACCGGGGGAGCAGGGCTTGCCGTGGCCCCGCACATGGGTGGGGGTTTCGGTGGCCCTAGCGAAGACCCCACTGCTGCCGACAGGCCCAGGGGTGCTACAGGGGGGCACTTGGGGTGCTCACCCCCCTCCTATGCTCCCTCTCTTGCAGAGATTATGCATGATGTGATCCGGAAAGTGAAGAAGAAGGGCGAATGGAAGGTGAGTGCCAAACCCCAGGGGGGCTGGGAGAGGAGGAAGAGGAGGAGGGTGGGGAGGAGGAAGCAGGGAAGGGGGTAGGTGCGGGCAAGGAGCCCCCAAGGGCGGGTGGAGGGGTGGGGAAGAGCAGTTCCCTGGCTGCCTTCCGTGCCCCCAGCTCACAGCCCCTCTCCCCAGGTGCTGGTGGTGGACCAGCTCAGCATGCGTATGCTCTCCTCCTGCTGCAAGATGACCGACATCATGACGGAGGGCATAACGAGTGAGTACCGGCTCGCGGCTGTCTCTCGCAAACCTCATTGTAGGAGGGGCAAAACCTCCTTCTGAACCAGGGGAACTGCAAAGGCATTTCCAGGCTGGCACAGGCCAGTCGAGGTGGTGGCACAGCCCTCACCCAGCCCCATCCCATTTGGGATGGAGACACGCTACCTCCCATTGCTCATGGACGACTGTCTTGGTGCCAGGCTCATGTTTCACAGCCTTCCTCCTTGCCTGCTGGGGCTGGAGGAGCCCGAACACCTTCTGTCCTGGCAGGATCTCAGTCCGAGGAGAAGACCAGGTGTTATTTTATGTCAGCCCTATAAATAGCTCCCTGCAGCACTTGGAAAGGAGAAGGCAATCCCAGGCTGTGCACTGGGAGGTGTTCGGGGGAAGCGAGGGTTTGCCCCAGCCCGGATACCACCAGAGCATCACCCCCAGGCAGTCCCCTCCAGCGGAGGGATGTGGGAATAAACCAAGGCAACAGCAGCACAGGAGCACACAGACAAATCCACCAGCCCCCCGGGACCTTGCCAGGCACCCAGGCATGCAGCCCCAGTGGGGCACCGTGGGGCTGGGACAGGGTGGGCACAGCCCCTGCCCCAGCTCCTGGGTGGGCAGGGGCAAGCAGCTGGGGACATTTTGGACGCAGGGGAGTTGGCAGGGCTGGTCCTGTGGTGCCGTGGGATATCCAACAACCCTGCCTAGCTGAGTGCCCCTGCCCGCACCCGGCCCTGCCATGGCCCTTGTTTTTCCCCCCAGTTGTGGAAGACATCAACAAGCGCCGGGAGCCGCTGCCCAGCCTGGAGGCCGTCTATCTCATCACCCCCTCCGAGAAGGTGAATACACAGTGTGGGGCATGGGGAGGGATGGGGGGGCACAGCCTTGGGATGGGGGGGCACAGCCTTTGCCTGGGGGAAGCAGGGGGATGCCCACATTGGGGCAGGCAGCCATACCCATGGGAAGCATCTTGGCTCCAACGAGGCCGGCAGTGCTGCCGGGGTGGTGGGCCAGAGGTGCAGAGCTTCCCCCCGTGCCAGGAGGGAGGACCCTGGGTGACCCTGCTGAGATGCCTGCGGTGCCACCGTGCCCAGCCCAGCTGGTCCCTTCTCTCTTGCAGTCCGTCCACTCCCTCATCAACGACTTCAAGGATCCCCCCACCTCCAAGTACAGAGCTGCCCACGTCTTCTTCACTGACTGTGAGTACCTGGAGGGGAGGGAAAGTCCCTGTCACTAAAACGCATGCAAGCAAGTGGGGATGCAGGGATGCTGAGCGCTACCCTCCTCCTCCTCTTCCTCCCCTTGCAGCTTGCCCTGATGCCCTCTTCAATGAGCTGGTGAAATCGCGTGCCGCCAAGGTCATCAAAACCCTGACGGAGATCAACATTGCCTTCCTCCCCTCCGAGTCGCAGGTGAGGCCGGGCTGGGGACCGTCCCCGCCGAGGTGGTCCGGGGGATGGGACAGCTGGGGGATGCTCTGGGTCCTTCTCCAGCCCATCAGGGTTTGTGTAACAGCCTTGCATCCCTCTCGGCCAGCTCCTCGCCCCCTGCTCGGCTCTGCCTCCCTGTCTCCTTTGATTACTTCTCAGGGCTGATCCGCTGCAGGGGATTTAGCGGGCGCCGCGCTTTGGCCCTGTGCCGGCGGCTGCAGTGGCCAGCTCTGTGCGCTGCCGGCACGCTCCCCAGCCAAGGGCACCGGCCCTGTGCCATCTGCCCCTGCTGGGGACATGGGGACGAGGGGGACAGGGAGGGACAGATGGTGCTGGACCTCTTTGGTGCCATTTAACCCTTCAAGCCTCAGCATTTCTGGGGAGACAGACAGGTGGAAGATGACCTCTTGGCGTCCCCCCACACAGCCACATTGCCTTCTGGTCCTTACTGGTGTCATGTCCAGGGAGCGGCGTGTCCCCAGTTGTCCCCAGGTCCCTGGTTTACTGCCTGGGAGCAGGTGACTGCTGTGGGCAGGGGGTCTCCTGCCTCCTCTGCTCACCCTGGGGGGCTACACGTGGGTAGGGACCGTGCCGTGGAGCTGGATCTGGGGAAGGCATCAGGGTCCAGAGCTGGCAGCCGAAAGCCCAAAGGATGCCCCGAGCATCGCTGAGCTCCGGCTGCCCAGTCCCAGGCTTGGCTGGGGACCTTTGACTGGGGTTGAATTTCCAAACCCACTGGGTTGTCCTGCGGGGCTGCTCTCCTCCAGACGTCCCCCGCAGTGCATCCCCTCTCACCTCCCTCCTGCTGCACCTCCCAGGTTTACTCCCTGGATTCGGCCGACTCCTTCCAAAGCTTTTACAGCCCCCACAAGGCCCAGATGAAGAACCCGATCCTGGAGCGCCTGGCTGAGCAGATCGCCACGCTGTGCGCCACGCTGAAGGAATACCCGGCTGTGCGGTACAGGGGGTAAGGGCAGCGAGATTGGCACCCCCCCCAGGGACCTGCCCTCTCCCCCAGCAGCTCAGTGAAGCTGGGGCCGTGCCGAGCACGGGGCACGGATGAGGCCATGCTGTGTCCCGTGCTGGTGAGGGCATGGGGACGGAGGAGGTGGTGGGATGGACAGACACCCGTGCTCAGTGTAGGCTCAGACTTGAAGATGCTTTGGAGAGTGGGGAGGGGGTTAGGGCCCTGAAATCCAAGTGGCACCAAGTGAGCACCCCAAGGAGAGGTGGAAATGGGCAACAAAACCTGCTCAGGTCCCTCCTCTCCCATGAGCCAAGGACATTGCACAGGGAAACCAGCAGCTCCTCCCCATCCCATGGTGGCAAGAGCCACCCACCCCAGGGAGCTGACCTCTCCTTCTGCCTCCCCCAGGGATTACAAGGACAACGCCATGCTGGCGCAGCTCATCCAGGACAAGCTGGATGCCTACAAGGCTGATGACCCCACCATGGGCGAGGTGAGCGGGGATGGTGCCAGAAGCACTGGGGGAAGATGCTCGGGTGATGCTTCACTCCTAAAGTTCCACTTGAGCTCTGCCACGCGGCAGTCGCAGACCCCGAGCGGGGACCCCGAAATGGCCCCAGCTTCCCCTGACTGCCTGTGGGGCTGGAGGAGCCCCCAGCCCCACTGCTGACGGCTTTCCCTGGCTCTGCAGGGTCCGGACAAGGCTCGCTCCCAGCTCCTCATCCTGGACCGCGGCTTCGACCCTGCTTCCCCAGTGCTGCATGAGCTGACCTTCCAGGCCATGAGCTACGACCTCCTGCCCATCGAGAATGATGTCTACAAGTGAGTGCAGCACTGTTGTCCTCGTGACCCCCATGGCCCTCATGAGTCCAGCTCTTGAGTGGGAGTTGGAAGCTCAGCCATGAAGTCTGAGCCTCAGCATCCCTCCATCCATCACAAGCCATTAGTTGGGAGAAACCATTCCTGCCTGCAGTCTGGCAGGCATGAGGGGCAGAATTGATGCCAAAGGGGCTTTTCTAGCTTTCAACCCTTTATCCCTTCCCACCATTCAGCAGCTGAAGGGGTACAAGAGGGCAAGATGCGAAACCAACTTGAAATAAGAGCCAAGAAGAGCCCCCGTGCCCTCCCATCTCCCCACACCCCCCTAGAGCTGCACATCCTCTCTGGCAGCAAGGGGGCCACGTGCCCCCCAGCCCCGTCCCTGCCGTGACGCTCCCTGCCCTCTTCCCAGGTATGAGACGAGCGGCATCGGGGAAGCCCGGATTAAGGAGGTTCTCCTGGATGAGGACGACGACCTGTGGGTCACCTTGCGCCACAAACACATCGCCGAGGTGTCCCAGTGAGTGTCCCTGTGGGTGGTTTGCCAGCTGGGTGGGACGTCGGCTCAACATTGCCACCCACCCCACTGCAAGGGTCTGCTCCCCGCTGACGGCTCTGCCTTCCTCTCCCCAGGGAGGTGACCCGGTCCCTGAAGGAGTTTTCTTCAAGCAAGAGGATGAACACAGGCGATAAGGTGACCTGACTGCGCCTACCAAGCAGGAACGGGCACCTGGGGGACTTGGCTACAGGCTGGCAAATGGCAGAGTTTCCTGGGGACACCCGATGGGGACCTCTGCAAAGGGCCAAGGGTGCTCAGGTCCCTGATGGGGGGAGATGGCTGTGGGGTGCTGGCCCTACGCCTGGGGCTGGGGAAACAGGGCGCCTTGGTTGAGCACCACGCCACAGGGGTCAGTTTGCCCCCAGCACAGGGTCCGTTCCCGTCCTGCAGTGGCTGCCTCTGTCCCCAGCCGGTTCTCTTCCCGAGATGCTGAATCGGTGGCAGTGAGGAGACCCCAGTGGAAATAGGGTGTGAAAGTGGCCAGAAGCTGAAAGCATCATCTCAGCCTCAGCCAAGCGCATGGTGGTCCCAGAGGAAGGTCCTGGGGGGATTTCTCCCCCTGCCGCATTCCAGTTTGCAGAGCTGCAGACCCCCTTTCTGCTCTTCAGCCACAGTGGAGGAGACCCAGCAATGCCATGGCAGGCATCCCCAAACCCCTGCGAGGGGCTCTCATGGGGACAGAAGTCCTTGGCAGGGTCATCCGCTCCCTGCCTACGGTCTTGCGCCCAGCCCTAAGTCCCCAAGGGCAAGTGACCATGTCCCTTTCCCTCGCAGACCACCATGAGAGACCTGTCCCAGATGCTGAAGAAGATGCCGCAGTACCAGAAGGAGCTCAGCAAGGTACATGGAGTGGGGGGAGATGTCTGTGCAGAGCAGCTGGTGCTGAGCCCACCTGGGGAGCGGGCAATGGCAGCTCTCCCTGGAGGGTCCCCAGCCGCGGGCAGGGGCTGAGGCCGGGGTGGTGGCACGGGGACCTTCGGCTGCCACCAGCACCGCAAGGGTGACTGCACCGCTTGTGTCTTCCCAGTACTCGACCCACCTGCACCTGGCTGAGGACTGCATGAAGCACTACCAGGGCACGGTAGACAAGCTCTGCCGAGTTGAACAGGTACCAGCTTCCCCAGCCCCACATCACCCCCCTCCACACACATCCCCATGGGGATGACTGGGGCCAGCAACTCCTGCCCCACAACTCAGCACTGAGCCATGGGTTGAGGTGTGATGAGCATGTGCGTTCTCTGCAGGACCTGGCCATGGGCACCGATGCTGAAGGTGAGAAGATCAAGGACCCCATGAGGGCCATTGTCCCAATCCTGCTGGATGGGAATGTCAGCACCTATGACAAGATCCGTATCATCTTGCTCTACATCTTCCTGAAGAACGGTGAGGAGGACACCTGGGCAGGGGTGGGCGAGATGTGCAGGCAGCTCTGGGTGGCAAACAGCTCAGGGTTTGGCCAAGTTAAGCCAGATGGAAAAGCTCAGCCCTGTCTCCCCAACCACCACCAGGCCAGGGGTCCTAAGGTGACAGTGGAGGGCCTGTGTCCCCACCGGGAGGCATTTCTCAAGAGGACGCCATCTCCCCGTTGCATTTCCAGGTATCACCGAGGAGAACCTGAACAAGCTGATCCAGCACGCTCAGATCCCAGCAGAGGACAGCGAGATCATCACCAACATGGCCCACCTCGGGGTGCCCATCATCACAGATGTGAGTGTCCACCTCCCGCTCCCCATGGCTCTCGTTGCCCCTCGGAAGGACCGTGGCACCCGCTCTGCTGTGGGAACCACGTACCCCCCAGGATACCCCCAGCACCCCTCTGGGGTGGCCCCAATCCCACCGCTAGAGCCCCCGTGTCTCAGGGTGTCCCTGTGCTCTTTCTGTCCAGTCCACCCTGCGCCGCCGGAGCAAGCCGGAGCGGAAGGAGCGGATCAGCGAGCAGACCTACCAGCTCTCCCGATGGACCCCCGTAATTAAGGACATCATGGAGGTGAGCCAGCAAGGACAGGGACGGGGGATGGAGCAGGGACCTCAGCACTGCCCGGGAAGGGACCTGCAGAGAGCTGGCTGCTCCCAGCCCAAACCCTGACACCTCTCCCCGAAACGTGCCCTCCAGGCTGCTCCCTGCCTGCAACTACAACTAGTTTGGGATGTTTCCCATGTGCATGCTGGCCTCAGGTGGGATGCACGGCCCTGGCCGGGCTTGCACGGCATCCCTGCAATACAAAATGCTGTAACAAACTAGTTGCTCCTTGTGCCGCGCTGTGTGCCATGACAGGCACGGCTGGGTGGCCTCGTCACAGCATTGTCCACATCCCAGCTGAGCCAGGGGACGGGCACGGCCATACCTGTACCCACGGGAGGTACCCCATGAGCTCTGCGCTTGGGTAATGCTGGGCAGAGCCAAGAAGTGATTTTTTTCCAGGTGCTACCTTCCTCCTGACCCATTCCCTCCCAACCACCCCTCGAATCAGAGCAACCTCTCAGAGCAAACTCCCAGGGTTTCCCCAGAGCCGGGGGAATCCCAGGCACCAAAACTTCTCCCCAACACAGACATTTCCCACGTGCTCAGACAGACAGACAGACCCTGCAGCCACATTTTGGGGAGGGGGATATCACCGCAGTTCAGTGCCACCTCTGCTCCCAGGCACCCATGACAAGCAGAGCCACAGCTCCCTCCATTTCCAAAATCACACAGCTCTTGCCTTCCTCTACCCCAATCCATGCAAACCCTCCCCTGCCCAGGGCACCCCTAAACCTCATCCCCAGGACCAGAGGAGACTACAGAGGGCAACATCTCACAGATAACCTTAATCCCCCCTGTGCTGTCCCTGCCCCACAGCAGCCAAGCACCACCCTCCTCCTGCTAATTGCACCCTATTACAGGAAAACAGCCAAATTGTTCCAAAAAGTAAGGCTATGCAAATATATGGAAATGAACCCTGACCCAGTTGGGCCAATCCTCCTGGGCACAGCCCTACAGAAGGGCTCTTGGGCCAGAGGCCATGCCCGGCTCCTTGCTGAACCCCCCCCGGGGCTCTCCGCCCGCAGGACGCCATTGATGACAAGCTGGACACCAAGCACTACCCGTACATCTCCACCCGCTCCTCCGCCTCCTTCAGCACCACTGCCGTCAGGTGGGTCTCCTGCGCTCCCCCTATACATTGGCACGTATATCACCAGCAGCATCCATCCCTCACCTGCCCGGAGGGGCCGTATCCATCAGCAGGTCTGTGAGCTGCTCTGCTGTCATTCAGGCATCCCGTGCCTCAGTTTCCCTACCTGTAAGAGCGAGCAGCGCTCGTGGCTGGAAAGCTGGACTTTACCTGCTCTAGCAGAAGTTTGGGAGCTAATTAATGTGTGATTTAGTTAAGATGTGAACTCAGTGCAGTTTGTTGCATCCCGCCTATCCTTCATCCCTCTCCTCTCCCTCTCTAGTGCCCGCTATGGCCACTGGCACAAGAACAAGGCCCCCGGCGAGTACCGAAGCGGCCCCCGCCTCATCATCTTCATCCTGGGTGGTGTCAGCATGAACGAGATGCGCTGCGCCTATGAGGTGACACAAGCCAGCGGCAAGTGGGAAGTGCTAATAGGTGAGTGGGAGCCGGGGCCAGACCCTGCGCCCCGTCGTGCTGGCTGCTCATCCCACGCTCCCTGCACCACCCCGCAAATTCCCGGCTCCAGATGACTGCGGGAGCTGGAACTCTGCGGAAAGGTCTTCTGCCGCCTGCTGTCACCCCTGTGTCTCCCCTCCCCAGGGACAGGATATGTCCCTCCACCCATCCCCAGTTTTCCTCCCATTTTTCCTCTCCCTGGCTGGTTTTGTTCAAGAGGATCTGGGTGAAAGGGAAGGGGGTTTTGCAACTTGAATTGCTCCTGTCGCCCCTGTGTTGCACACTCGTCCTCAGGGTCGTTACAGGGATAAAAAACAATAGAGGCGTGCAACGCTGCACGCCGACCGTGATGTGCACTGTGCATGCAACAGGAGATGCATTTTCCTGTTACACACAGGCAGCATGCATGTAACAACATGCATTGCGTGCTCAGTCTCAGCACCCCGGCTGTGCTCCTGGAGGAGCCATGGGTCAGGTGTGGAGGACACGATGGAAGCCCTGCCAGATGTTAGCAAGGAGTTTTTAGGTCCCCTAAAATTCCCCCGGGGAAGCACGGCTGGATACACACATCGTAGGGTAGGGGCAGGAGCCCCTCACTGTCTCATCTGGTCCCTGGATTCTCGCCTGGGGTGCCTGGTAGAGCCTCTTGCCAGCATCTTATCTGCTCCTTGTATTCCCCTGGGAGCAGCAGCCCCCTCCCCATCAGTTCCTGCAGCCCCCGGCTGTGTCCCCCCACCACTGGGCCCACCACCACTGCCCAGCTCCATCCCGCCTCTCGCCCATCTCATCCCGCGTCTCTCCGGGGTCCATCCCCTGCATGCGCCTGCGATGCTCCGGGTGGCAACCGCGTCCTTCCTCGCCCCAAAAAATGGGGGTGGGGGGGTCTTGGCGCAGCCATCAGCCCCGCTCTGTTCTCCTGCAGGTTCTACTCACATTCTCACTCCCACCAAATTTCTCATGGACCTGAGGCACCCCGACTTCAGGGACTCTACTAGGGTATCATTTGAGGATCAGGCTCCAGCAATGGAGTGAGCCAAAGAAACCAAGTAAAGGCAGCTTACTAACGAAAAAGAAACTCTTCCTCCCCGAAGGGTTTTCTTTGATTCTTCCGTTCCTCCTTTCTTTAATTATTATTTTGGGTTTCATTTCCGTTGGGTTCTCCAATAAGAAAATGCTTGCAGTTCCTCCTTCCAGGTGGAAAAAGCATCCAGCGCCGCTTCCATCATCCCTCTGCCATGTCTCTTGGCCGGACCTGGCCGGCTCCTTCATGCCATGAGTTCCCCCTCGCCGGGGCCGGAGGGGCTGGGGGTGGCGGGTCGGGGTCCTGCCTACCCAGCAGAGCCATCCTGGGGCCGGACAGAGGACGGAGCATCCCGGGATGCTGCCTGCAGCGGGCAGCTGGAGCAGGGCCGGGGGTTCGGTGCCTGGGGCAGCAGCGGGCGTGCGGGGTGGACCCCAGCGCTTGTCCCAGCTCCAGCCCCTCTCGTCACCCACAGCGAAGGCTGGGCGCTGCCGTGACCCCCCCAGCTCTGGGGTGCGATGGGGCTGAAATCCCGAATCGATGGGAAAGCTCAGGTTTGCTCTTGCGGCACTTGGTGCCCTTGGATGGGCAGGAGCCCCCCGACGTTGCAGACCCCTGAACCCCGTGCTGGGGTTTAGCTGCCGGCGTTTTTACTGGTGAGACCCGTCACGGCATCCTCCCGAGCCACCGCTGCCATGTGTTGGTCCACGCAGAGCCGGGGAGGCTGCGAGGGCGGCGCGGCGGGGAGCTGCCGCTGGCACCGTGCCGGCGAACCCCCCAGCCAGGGGCAGCAGAAGGCGAGAGCCCTTTTCTTCCTCCCCTCCCACCCCGTTCCCCTCCCGACCACCCCTTTGCCCCAGCGATGCTCGGTGCGGGCAGGGGGAGAGCCGGGCGACCTGCGGAAGGTCCCTCCGTGCCCGGCTGCTGCCTGCCCGCACCTCCCGCCCCGTGCACCCCGGTGCTTTTTGGCCAGTGCCTCCTGCACCCCCAAAGGGTCCAGGAGTGACCCCACTGGCCACAACCCCACTGCATGGGCACCTCCCGGCCCCCTCCTCATCCTGCCCAGCTCCATACATCTCCTTCATTTCTCCTTTTCCGTTCCTTTCCCATTATCCGTGACCCCCCAACCCCCATAGACGTACATTTTCTCGCAAGCATTTCCACTGGCGTGTGGGGCCGTCGCCGCCAGGTAAGGCCTCGCCGGGGGGGGAGACTGGGACAGCGGGGCCGGCGGCCGGGGTGCAACGGGAGGGGGTCCCGAAACCATCACTGATGCCCTCCCCCCTTTACCTCTGCCCCCGCAGGGTCCACGCACATCCTCACCCCACAGAAACTGCTGGACACGCTGAAGAAACTCAATAAAACAGAGGAAGAAAGCAGCAGTTAAAAGGAAACGCCGCCACCGACTCGATGCCGAATTCACCTTCCCCGCTGGGTGCCCGGCCCGGGGTGCGATCCTGCACCCAGCCCCGGCCCCGGCCCGGCCCAGCTTTCTCTCTTGTTCTTGTGTTGACCCCCCCTCCCCTCCCGCCGCCTTCCCCATCTCATTTTATCCACAGGGAGGGGATAAACAACAGCCGAAAAAAAATATATTAAGAAAACCGATGCATTGTGTTTAAAAGAGGAAAAGAAAAAAAAAATCTATATATTTGTAGCTGCAGCTATCCGAAGCACCCAGGAGCTCGTTGCTGAGTAACCCATCTGCCCATTGCTAGCGAATGATGATGACAAAAACCAACAGAAAAAAACCTTTCTCCAAAAGTTTCGCTCCTCGTTGGGGTCTTGTGTGGACGGACGGACGCACCACCATCGCTCCAGCCTCTGCGCAGGCAGGCGCCGCGGGCTGGGCTCGGCTCTCGTGTCGCTGCTCGCTCTCGGCCGGGGGGTCCCCACTGCCGTCTCCTGTCCCTTGTCTTTTCGGGGTGGTGGGTGTTCCCGCCAGATGTGCACACCAACATCTGGCACGGGGGTTTGGTGGCGGGGATGTGGGGGAGTGCACCCGGGATGCTTCACGCTGCGGCAATTCCCATGTGAAAAGGGACCAAAATGGTCAAAACCTGGAGACGGGGCCCGTTTGCTTGCACGGCCGCTCCTCTGCCCTGCTGCAGCCCGGCCTCCCCCTTCTCTGAGTATTCCTTAAAATGCATATAGATATATAACAAAAATTCAATTTTTTTATATATCTCTCTCTCTCTCCCTCCATCCCCACGGAAGCTCGGTGCCCCTGCGCATGGCTCCGCTCGTGTCATGCCGTGGTGAAGCGTTCCTGAGCGTGCCGTCGCCCCGAGGCCCCCCCACTCTCCGGGCCCCCCCTCCGGACTCTGTGTATATTAATGACTGTGTCTTGTGACGTTCTTACAAGCTTGGTGTATAGTGATTTAACCAAACCTCTGATTTTAGTTGGTTTTTTATTTTACACCCAAGGATTGCCCCCGCCCTCCCCTGCCATTAGATGCACTGCAATATTTTGGGGTCCATCATTTTGTTCTCTCCCTCTGAAGGCTGTGACCCCCTTTTCCTTCCCCCAGATCTCTCTTTCTTGCCTCGTTGGTGGTTAGCCCCCCCCCTTCCCTCCCCGTCTGTTCCTTGCCCATAAAGTTAAATATATATTTTTAGGGCAAAGGCTGTATCATTGCACTGATATTTGTTGGTTCCTCCTTGGTCCTCCCACCCCGTTTGAGTTCCTTCTTGGTTTAGCAATGCAAATGCTTCAGGATCTTGTATGTTGGACATTACTATTTTTTTTCTGTTACAGTTATTTATATAAAAAATAATTTATCAAAAAGGAAAACTTAAAAAAAAATAATCTAGTCTGTCTTGGAAATTGTTTACCTTGAAATTACTGGAATCTAAATGTTTGAAAGTGTTGAAGCACAAACATGTATCATCTCTGTATATCTGTTCTTCTGTACTAAAGCACTTGAGTGACTAAATAAAAGCGATCTCCATCCCTAGTGCAACCAGGGCTGTGCCGTGCCGCTTGCTCGGGGGCCAGGCAGGCAAGGGAAAGGCTTGGGGAAATAGTCTCAGCAAACCCCAAATGCCCCCAAGGGAGAGATCCTGGTGTGGTGATGCCGAAATTCACCCGAGAAATGGCTTTGAAAAGGAAGAAAAACCCACAAGCTGACCAACTGCATTTATTTCGTTCAAAAATAGGTGATTATCTTAGTACAAAATACCATCCAAATGGCTCTGCTGGTCATTACAAAATAGGAGATACGGAAAAAAACTTCATCTTTGCTCCTGGCTATTGCATTTGGGATAGTTAAATACAGCTGCGTGCTCCCTGCACGCCCCAGCTGGACTGGGGGGGTCACAGCTTCCAGTGCGGCTGCGACCTAGCCCGTCGGCTCGCTTGGGACACAGGTACAAGCAGATGCAACCAGAGACACATAAATCCTCTTTAAAATCCCCCCGCATGCCCCCAACCCACCCCTCTCCCCCCAAAGGGCAGCATCAGGGGCAGCCCCTCCCCGGCCCCCCCGGGCTGGTTGCAGGATCCGGGCTCAGTGGTTTTGCAAGCGCTTGGGGAGGCTCTAGACCTGAGTAACTCACAGGGGGCATTAGTGATTTCGCCCCCAAAAAACTTGGGTCTTTGTACAACGAAAAAAATTCAAAAATAAATAAATTTGACACGGGCACTTCAGGTAGGTCCTACACATAAACACAGCCGGGGGCACTGCAGGCTGAGATGCTCAGGGATGGGGGGGGGGCGGTTTGGCTGGACCCATCCTGGGGGCACAGGGTGCAGGTTCTGCATGGGTGCTGGTGGGTGCAGCTGGAGGGTCCCCCCAGGGTTTGTAGGGTGCGGAGCACCCACCTCCAAGGCACTGTGCCCTCTCTGAGGGCTGCTCCGACCACATCCATTTCGCTAAAAAAATAGGCGTTAACTGATTACAAAACGAGCCTGGAGGGACGGGGGCTCCGCAGACCCCCTCAGGGCCAGATCCTGCCCCTGCCTCAGTCTCACGGGGCAATTTTTCCTCTACCAGCCCAGATTGCCTGGGAATCCCAAGGAAAACCCCAAATCCTTCTTTTTTTCTGCCCAGATAACACTGTGGGCGGCCACACCCAGGGACGGCCAAAAAAAACCCATAAATGCCCTAAGGATTATACTGGAAATTAAAACCAGAACATATATATGTACCTCTATATAGATACATATATATACATACACACACACATTGTATATCATCAATCAACCCTAAAAGAGTGATTTAGCTGCTTACTAGCTACCTTGGAGAAAAAAAATTCACATAAAATGATAGAAAGAAGAGCTTTTCCAGGGAGGACCTGGCTCGGTTGAAGTCCAAGGGCAGAGCAGAGGGTGGAGGGGGGCACCGAGCTCCCGGAGGATGCCTCAAGGCTGGGAAAGGGGTTGAATAGGGAATTGCGGGTACTTCTGCCCCCACAGGCACGGAGGTAAACGCAGCTGCCAACGGGGGCTCGACCTGTGTTGCAGTAGGACCTACACAAAGTCAGAGCATCCCCAGAAGTGCTTGGCTCCGGGTGGCGTCTGCCTTGGGGGACACAGGGCCACCCCGTTGGTCCCAGGGGACGGTGCCCTCCTGCCGGGGCTGTGCTCGCAGCCTGGCGTGCCACAGGATGATGCAGGTCTGGGGAGGCTTCTGCCCACGTCTTGCCCCGCTCCTGCACCTTGGGTGGTCCTGAAAATGGACAGACAGATGGACAAGCGATGCAGGAGGTCTAGGGCAAGCGGGATGGGAGCCGGTGCAGGACCCCATGGAGATGCCTCCAGACCCGGTGCCCCCAGATCTGGCAGGGAGCATCCAGTCAAGGGATGCTGATGGGGGTACCATCTTCCTCCTCCTGCTGCCCCCTGCGAGGGCAGGGAGGGTTTGGCAGGGGCCGGCAGGACTCTCAGAAGAGGCAGGAGCCCCGCAGGTCCCGTGCTCGGCTCAGCTCAGCGGCTAGCGCCCGGCTCATGCGGGTGGTGGTGAGCCTCACGCTCTGGGCAGCCTCCACGGCCCGGCTCAGCGACTGGTTCAGCTCCTCCAACTCATCCAGGTCCAGGGTCAGGCAGCGGTGGTGGCCGGCGGCACGCGGCCCGGGGGGATGCTCTGCCCGCCGGTGCCCCGCAGAGTGTTGGAGGGGGACCCCGGCCACGGCTGGGGCTGAGGTAGGTACCGTTGGGGAGCAGTAGCTGGGAAGAAGAAGGGGACACGGGCTCAGCTTTGCCCCGTAGGCTGTGCCCCCCCCCCCCCCAGGGCTCTGTGCCTCCACTCTGCCTTGGTTTTCACCCCTCTCCCCCACCCCATCCCTCTCCAACCCATCTCCCTGCGCTCACCCCCACGCAGACCCCACTCCCAGCCAGCTGCCACCCGGGTGCCTGGGCTCTGTGGGCAAACCAGCAGGTCCCTGGGGTGGGCACAGCCCCTCCCGGGTTCACCCTCCTCCCCCAGGAGATGCTGACCTCCCCCCCAACGCAGAGCATCCTTACAGCATGGAGGGAACGTAAGGCACGAGGGGGACGGGCGCAAGGCAGCCGATGGCAGCGGTGGCACCAGGGCTGGCCAAGTACCAAAGTCCGGGCTGCTCCGGTTTCTCGGCTCGGGGACCAACGCGGGAGCCTGGGGCGGACGTGCCACCGGGGCCATGCTCTGCTGCGGGGAGGAAGGTGGTTAGATGTCCCCAAGGGGGTTCGATGTCCCCAAGGGGGTGCAGCGAGCGGCAGCCCCAGGTGAGCCCACCCGTGCCACAGTGGGAACAGCCACGCCTGCGGGGAGCGGGTGGTGGCACCGCTGGGTGTCACTTCTGTCCCCAAGCAGTCTGCCAGCGCTGTGCCAGGGGTCTGAGGGTTGTTTCCCATCCCGCCGCCCCAGCTCCCATGCAGGGATGAGCCATGCCAAGCACGTGCCATCCGTCACCCACCGTGTGTGGCTCCGTCCCTGCTGCCGGGCGCGGGGGGACCCATGGGTGCTCGGCAAGCCGGGCAGCGCGTTCTCCTCGGGGTGCTGTGCTGGGGCTGTCTTGCGGCATCGCCCGCCCCGAATCCAGCTACGGAGAGAAGAGCGAGCGTGTCTGGGAACATCCCCGCACTGACCAAGCAAGGGCGGTTTGGAAAAAGCAGAGCGGTTTGGGGGAGCGGCTGGGACAGGAGGCGAAGGCCTTTCCCTGCAAGGACCGGGGGGGCGGGGGCTGCAAAGGTGGGGCTCTTCAAAATGAGGGAGGGTCTGCAAAATGGGGGGGTCTGCAAAGCATTCTGCACACATCCAGCTCCGTTCCAGGCAGGCACGGGACACAGCAGAGCCCAGGTCTGCGCCGTTACCCGGGAATGGGCCGCGTTAACCTTTAGCTAAAGGACAGGGCTGGGGACACGTTCCCACTGCTCCGGGGACACCAGCGGCTGCAGCCGGCAGCGAGGAGGGCACCCCAGGGCAGGGGGTCCAGCCGAGGGGCACTAGGGTGAGCCCCAGGCCACAGGGAGTGGGCTCATATCTCCCCCCTCCCCAAGCCTCTAGTTACTGAATTAAAGTCAGCAGCAGCTCTGTTTGTGAAGCCCAGAAGGGGCTGGGGGCTGCTCCCAGGGTCACTCACCTGATGATGTCCTGCTCCCGTGGCACCGGGGACACCCCCGGGTGCCCGGCTCTTCTCCGGGTGCTGGGGTGGCCCGTGGCATCCCCGCCTGGTACCGCGTCCCTGCCAAAACCCAGCGTGAGCGCGGCCGGGAACCCCAACGCGGGGGCAGCCGCCCTCAGCCCCAGGCACTGACCGCCGCTGGCACCCACCTGTGTACTGTCCCCGAAATGTCACCACACCTGGGGTGCTCCCAGGGCTCTTCTGTGGGAAGGGGGTGGCCCGGGGCCCGGCGGGTGAGGGGTCCGACTCGGAGGCTGCGGTGGAGGAGAGGGAAGCGGGGTGGGATCCAGTGGGTCCAACCCCAGGTCTGCAGGATCTGGCCCTGGGCTGAGCGCTGCTGGGTCCCATGGGCCCACCAGCACCCCACTCCGTTTGGGGAAGGGGAAATGGCATGCAGGGAGGAGCACGTCCCCACTGACCCGCTGTCCCAACCCCAGTGGGGTCCCACTTACCGAGGTCCAGCTCCGGCCCGTCCCGCGGCAGCGATGCCGACCTCTGTCTCTTCGTCAGTGCGACCCCAGGGGCCACCCTGCCCCGCACAGGGGGGCTTGGCTCCCTGTGGAGGGGACGGTGCTGCTGTCACCACCCAGACCCCCCAGTGTCCCCTCAGGCATCCCCCTGACCCACCACCCTGCACAGCCGGGGTGCTGGTCCCCCTCCCCGAGCCCAACCTCTCCCCAGTTGCAGCAGAAATGGGACGGGCTGGGGGTGTCCCCAGGCCCGTGGGACACAGTGCGGCCCCCAACCAGGGGTGGCTGCTGCCACCCCCCACCGCCCCCCAGGTCCCTCCTGCCACCTACCCCGAGGGTGCTGCGTCCTTGGGGGACGATGGTCCGCTGGCCACCAGCTGCCTCCTGGCCGGGGCGGCTTTTCCCTCAGGATAGCTGCGGGAGCAGCGCAGGCTCTCCTCCAGCCTCCGCTGCAGCCGCCACACCTCGTCCCGCAGCGCCCGGATGGCCCGGCTGCCGCAGGACAGATGCCACGGTGAGGGGCGCCTGCAGTACAGCAAGGCTCCCAACAGTCCTGGCTGCTCCTGGGGTGGGAGCAGTCCCGTCCTCCCCGGACCCCATGCCTGACCCCATCCCCACCGGCCAGGACCCAGTAGCTCATGCTATGATGGTCCCCAAAACCAAGCCTGGGGCTTGTCTCAGCCAGCCCACACATGTCACGAGTTTGGAGGACTCAGCCCCAGCTAGGTCCTGGCTCTCCAAGAAGGGAAAACCTGCTGCTGCCCAGCAAAAGATGCTGGTGCCTTTGGGGACTTTGCTTGGCAGGGTCCCTGTGTCACCCGGGGGGGTTGGCCCGGTTTGGGGGGGTACATAGACACTCACTCACGCTCCAGACGGGAGCCCAGCAGGTCGCAGCGAGCCGGGTCAAGGGATGGGAGGTCAGGGGACAGCGGGGTGGGGGACGGTGTTTCGGGGGATGGTGGGGGGCTGGCCGGGCCCCTGGCCATGCTGGAGGGGTGGCCGCCGGCGCTGGTGCAACTCCTGCCTTCTGCCTCCGAGTCCGTATGAGCTGGGGGGGTTGGGGGAGAACAGTGAGCCAAGGTTGGCAGCGTGGGATGTGGGGCTGTCCCCCTCCCAGGAGAGACCTGGGGGAGCAGAACCAGCAGGCAGAAGGCACCTCCAGGCCAGCACACCAAGGGGCTTGGGGGAACACCATAAACCAGACCCTCTTCCACCGGCAGAGCCAGGGTCCCCCCCAAATCTCTCTCCCCAGGGACACATCCCTCCCTGAAACGCTGCCTACTCACTGCCGTCACCGTCGGGTCCTGCCTCGCTGCCCGCGCTCTCGGCCCAGCGCGGGGGGGAGCTGCCTTGCGAGGGGGTGCTGGGGGGCAGGCGGGCCCCCCCTGTGCCACCCTGTCCGCCCACAGGGTAGATGCCCATCAGCGCCGTCTCGGAGGGAAGCGGGATCGCCTCTCTCTTCCGTGGAGGACAGAGGGTTGCAGGGATGGGGATGGAGGGTCCCAGCAAGCCAGGGGTCCTGGGGATGGGATGGGTCATGCAGGCAGCCGCCATGGCTCATGCCCCAGCCATGGGCCACCCTGCACATCTCCAACCCACCCCAGCAACCCCTCCCTGCTCCCGCTGCCTCTCCCCCCATCCCTGCTCCCCTTCAGTGCCCCAAATCCCCCCAGAGAGAGCCAACAGCCCGTGTCCCTGAATCCCCACACTGGGGTGGAGGGCAGGGACCCCGAGCCATACCCGGTGCCGGGAGGCTGGTGCTCAGGGGTGTGCACGGGGGGTGACACCCTGCTGGCCTCTGAGCCCACGAAGCCGCTGTCCGTCTCCGGTGACACAATGCGCTGCTCCTGCAGATGCATCGAGGAGGGCAGGATTGGTGCCAAGCACCCCCAGGAGCCCCCAGCAGGGTCTAGGGGTGCTGGCAGATGGGGCCTGCAGTCCCAGGGGACTCACCTTGCGGGGCTGGTGCTGGGTGACAGCGCTGCCCGCTCTGCTGCTGCGGCGGGACAGGAGCACCCGTGGTGGCTCGGGGAGCCCCAGGGGGGGCTTGGCTGTGGCCGGTGGCTGCTCAGCGGTGGCAGGGGACAGGTGGCCCCGTGTCCTCCCTGGCCATGGAGGCTCCCTGGGGGGCAGCGGCGCAGCTCTCCTCTCCGCGGGGTGCCTGCAGAGAGAGGACGGAGCATAAGCAATGGGGCAGAGCAACCCCAGATGTGGGGAAATGCCCTAGTGTAGCCAGCTTTCCCATGGAGGCTGTTAACTCTGAAGCCTATCAATGCCAGTGATGCAAAACCTGAGACCTGACATAAAACCTCCCACTTGCCCAGCAGGGGGCACTTGTCCTCCCACAACACTTACAAAGGGGAGGTCTCGAGGTCGACCCCCTCCTCTAGTGACCGTGTCCTGCAGGACACCTTGCTGGGGCCACCATCCCCTGCTGCAGGTCCATCCACCTCCTCTTGGGACCCAGTCTCTGCCAGACTCAGCTGCTCCAGGCTCAGTGACTCCGGCAAGGACTTCAAGTGCTTGTACCTGGGGGGGATCACAGGCAGGAATTGGTGGTTTTGGGGAGCCGCTCCCTGCCCGCATTCCCCCCCGCCCCACTGCGAGGGCACTCACTGCTCCAGCAGGTCACCGAAATCCTCCTCCACTCGGAGCTGCTTGTGCCAGAGGGGCTGGGGCAACCCCCCCGTCACCACCTCGCCGTCCCCTGCTGTCCCCCGGGGACCCTCCATCAGTGCGGGGCTCTGCAGGGCACAGCAAAAGGGGGTCAGAGAAGCACAACCCCCACCCCAGCATCTTTCTTCGCCCCCCCCAGCCCTGTCCGCTCCCCCTGAAGCCTTGCCCAGCTCACCTCGGAGTGTGGGGAGCAGGCGGCCGGCGGTGGGGAAGGGGCTGGAGGGGAGCGGGGCTGGTTCAGGCGTTGCGGGGGGAGCTGCTGCCTGGCCCCAGGCTCCAGCCGCTCCTTCAGCTCCTCCAAGTGCAGCCCCAAGCGGAAAATCTCCCCTTCCACCTCGCTGCAAGACAGCAACCATCAGTGTCGGGGAGACACGGATCCCGGTGGCACGGGTCCCTGGGGCTTCGCGGGTGGGGAGGGGGCGGTGGGGGTCAAGCACTTACCGGTCGGGATCAAACTCCCCCGAGGCCCCTGGGTGCTGCTGCCGGGCTCGCAGGTACGCCCGCTCCAGCGCATCCTGCGCGTCCCTCAGCTTCCTAAACCTCTGCGGCACAACGGCGGCGACGTCCGAGTCTGCCGCCTCGGCCCCTGGTCCCCGCCACCCCCCCGGCCCCGCCGTGCACCCCCGGGGTGGGGGGCCGGGATGGGGCCGACGCACCTGGAGCTGCTCCCGGGGCGCGGGGCTCCCAGCCCGGATCCAGCCTTCGAAGGATTCCACCTGGCCGGGAGAGAAAGGGCTGAGCCCAGCCCCGCTGCAGCCCCC